AACTGGATTGAGCTGGATTTTAAATCTCCAAGAAGAATCTCCTTAGTCCCTTATCATTCCTCATTTCCTGAAGTCCCAGTGCTATGTTTCTTGTTGGGGTTGAAAAAGAATGGCTGAAAGGATTTTCTGCAGGTGATTCCCATCTGAAAAGAATAGTGATTTTGCCAACTCAAGGGTTCAGGAACTTGGAATCGAATTCACTAAAGGCTCTAAGTGCCAAGAGCTTACCCTAAATAAATCACAGGCTCCAAACAAGGTGCTGGAACTTGTGGCTTACTCTCAGCTCTGCCCTGATGTACTCGGTGAATTACTGCATCTTTCCTTCTCCCTCCTCAAAGTCATCTTTCAAGTAGAGGTGGTGACACTTGGTCCCTGTAAAAACAAGCCATCTCAGCATTCATATGTGGCTCTTCCATCCTCTCAGGGCTGACTAGAGCTGGGAGTCAGGTGGACATGCTGAGATGGACTTTCCATGAGGTTCCATCAGCCTAGCCTCCATTAAGGTGGAGGCTACAAACTAGGGATGTGATATACACACTTTGTTAGTTCCTCAACTGCCAGTGAGCAGGACTAAGTCCAGCATCAGGTCCTAAGACATGAAACTTTGTGCCTCTACCTGTCCTTTTCTTGTTCTCTTTCCACACACACTTTAAAGACCAAAACTTCAGGGAGTGACTACTTCTAGGAGAGGACAGGCCTTGGGTGAAGAATGGACAGTGTAGGGCCAGCCAGACATGGGTAGTTTCCACCATAATCCCAGTGTTTTGGGAGGCTGAGGTGAGATGGCTTGAGGTCAGGAGTTCAAAACCAGCCTGGGAAACATAGCAAGACCTCATCTCTACAAAAAAAAAATTAGCCAGGTGTAGTGGTGCTCCCAGCTACTCAGGAGGCCAAGGTGGGAGAATCACTTGAGCTCAGGAGATCGAGGCTGCAGTGAGCTATGATTGCACCACTTCATGCCAGTGTGGGCAACAAAATTCAGGACAGCAGAAGAGGGGTGAGACCTTGAACCACACTTCTCCACATGCCTGCTCTGTCTCTCAGTAGTGCAGAGAGAAGACGCACGTGCAAACCCAAGGGGATTTTGCAGCCTGAGACTTTGGTCATTGTGAAAGTGACCAGGTTTCTGTTGGGTTGGGTCTTATGTCTAAGTAGTAACAACCCTTCCCACTTGACTTCTCAGGTTCTACTCAACTCTTCCAGTGTCTGGGCTCACCTCTCCTTCTCACTGCTGATCTGTGGTCACTGGGAAGGGACAGGGACAGAGGTCTGGCTCCCGCAGAGAAAAATGCAGAAAGCAATGCATCTCTTGCAACTCTTTGGCAGGTCTGATGCCAATGAATGCCAGCCAAACATCACGAGATCAGAGCGTGGGAGGAAGGGTACAGGATCCATGTTTGAAAGCATAGCTGTCAGTCAGACAGCCCCAGGAGCCAGAACCGCCAGCCCACCTCACAGCAGCCCCCAATCCGGTGTGTCCTCCCTCTTCAACCTGTCCCTTCCTAGCAGTGGCCCAGGCATATTTGGAGTCCCTGCCCTGGACTCCAGTGGCACTTGGAGTACTGTGAGTCATGCCTTGCTTTTTCTCATGCTAACGTGACAACTGAGTCTTCACTTCCCACCATGTGGAAGGCCTTCTTGGTGGATGCCTAGTCCCTGACATCTTTGTTTTCTAAAGTCCTCAGTGTGACTTCTGGGCCCATAGTAAACCCTCTTACTGAGTAGTGGACAGTTGGTTGGTTGGTGGTTGTTTAGTTGGTTGGTTGGTTGTTGGTTGGTTAGTTGGTTGATTGGTTGGTGGTTGGTTGGTTGGTTGATTAGCAGGCCAATGAAGACTGCCCTTTGGAGAACAATGCAGTTTGGATTCCCTCTGTGGGTGATGCCTGTCATGGAAAACGTGAAACCCCAAATCTTAGATCACCACATCTCCACATTCATAAGGAGTCCCAACATGGTGGGCCAGCAACACGGGCCACTAGAGCATGTATCCAGCTACAAGGGTCTGAGCCAGGCAGATGCTCTTTTCTGTTAGAATGGGGTAGTCAGGATACAGTTGTAATAACAGTGTCTGCACCCAGAGGACTCAAATGTAGACCTGGGGGCCCTCTCCCTAACACTGTGTTTGAGAGTCAGTACTCGGGCTCTGAGTCAGACTGGCCTGAGATAGAATCCACACAGGGCCCAGAAGGAAACAGGGTCATGGAAGCACAGAGGTTGAAAGTGGAAGTCGTGTGGGTGGTAAGAGCCCTTCCTGACCTTTATTCTTCTAGAACATTCCACTCCCCCTAGCCCATCTCACACCCAGACACACCCACCCATTGAAACAGAGTCCTGGATGATCTTTTTCAAGTCTTTCCCCATTAAAAAACAAATGAAAACCAACAGTTTGAGTCCCAGGTCCCTGTCTCCTGCTTGTCTCCTGTCCACCCTCACATCCTGGACCTTCCATTTCCTCTCTTTTCTGCCTTGAGCTCCTCCTCACTCTCCTCCCGCCCCACAGAGGGTGGGTAGCTGTCCCTCCTCCTCCCCTCCTACCCCACCCTCCTGCCCCCCATCTCCTCTTGGCAGCTTTCCCACCCCACCCTGTGCACAGGGTCCCAAGGGAGAGCCACCTCCCTCCCACTGGCACCTGAGTACACAGGCTGCGGGTGACCTGCCAGGCTCACTGGAAAAGGAAAGTGACCCATGGAGGGCACAGGTGCTTTTAAGAGAGAAAGCTCTTCATCACACACAGACTCCAAGAACATCTGCAGGGGATGCAAGAACATGGCCACCATGTAAGCAGCTTTCTGGACATGTTCCCTTTCAGTTGTATCCTCCAAGGGCCGTCCTTCCTTTAAGGATGGGCAAGCAGATGCACTTTTATAGAATGTTGATTCACTCATCCTTCTCCTGACCCCTTTCCGCTTTCCCAAACTCCTGGGAGCAGCGATTATACAGCAAGCCAAGCTAGCTGCTCCAGTGTCCTTCCTCACCTCAAGCAGCCTTTGATTCTGCAGGTGCAGAAACCTCGCTACATCTGGGCAATTGATTCCCTGAACCTTAGAAATGAATGCATCTTGGGAGATCATCTCGTTCAGTCCTCTGCCTCCAGAGACAAGAGGCAGTGGTCTCCTAAGATAAAGTGTCCTCACAGTCATGACCATCCCCTTACCCTTCACCTCTGAGATCAGCACCACATGCACCCTTTCCAGCCATGGTCTGCAGTGTCCTGAGACTTTTTCCCTGAGGGTATGAGATGAGGCAGGATGGCATCATGCCTCCGAGAATTTATCACATCCTTGGCAGGGACCAGATCCCTGAAAGCAAGCACAGAGCTTGGCCCAGAAGTCCCTGGCAGACACCCTATGGCTCTCATCCTGGGCTGAGTCACAGATTCCTATCCAGGGTTCTGCATCTCCCATCCGTGAAAGTGTTAAGGCAGATGAGCATCCCATCAGACCAATTAATGGCTGGAATGTGATGGTTTTCTTCCATGTTCTTTTTTTTTTCTTAAGGTTAAAAAAAAAAAACCTTGGGTTAACTTCCACAGGCTCAGTGTGATCCTGTGACAACCACCTCTTGCGCCTGTTGACTTCTGTTCACACCTTCACTCTGAGGAAGCAGACTGTCTTGAGAGGCCTGGAGAGTAATGTGGGGTGGGTGTCAAGGTGGGCCAGCTGGCGTGGGCCGTGGGCACCAGTCGCTGTGCTATGACCACACTATGCCTGGCTGGGTTCATGGAGGACTGCTGCCACCTGGCGTCGGTCCTTCTACACGGGGCCTTGGCATATTATTTTGTACATCCCTTCCTGGGGACCAGGGCAGATGAGATTGTGTTCTAAGCACTTTAACCAGGAATGAGGAAAACGTCTAATATGATTAGAATGTGACCTCCAGGATCAGACCGAATGTCAAGGGTGATGGCAGTGATCCCTCCTCGGCACAGATCATGATCAAATGCATCTCCCCAAGACGTCGTGTTGATGAAGGACTTTTAGGATGATCTGAAGTTCTTTATTTCCCCTCTCTTCTGATACTTTAGCTGCTTGAGACTTTGTGTCAACCTCAAGGTTATTTATCTGACTTGAGTTGAACAAAACTTTGAGAGGGCCATGCACAGTCACGGGGCCCTCTTGAGTTGACAGGCTAGGAAGGCATCATCACTTGTGAGATGGGAAGAAACAGTCAGACCCTGCTCCTTGATACATATTTCTTTCTCTCTTTGGACTTTTCACCATTTTAGACAGATGGTTTCCAGTGGTTCTAATTTCTGTAAGTTGGATGGTACAGTGACTAGAGACCTGTGTTACCTCCACTCCCTAAATTACCATAAGAAAGAAAAAGTTAAATGGTGACAATACTGGAGAAAATTAGGAGTAAGTTAACTTGGCTCTATTCACACCTGGCTTGTCGGATTAGAGACCCATGTTTGATCTGTTCTAAACTGTGAAGAAAGCCAATGGGGAAAATGGACTGGGGTAGGGGGAAAGACAAGCATTACTAGCACAGATACATGAAGGTATATAGGCCCATGCCAGCCTTTCCAGCTCTGCTGTCAAATTAGAGCACATAGTGAGGGGACGAGACTTCTTTAAGGTACTGAAACCCAAGGAGTTTCAGGCAAAGGTGGCTCTACCTTGCATCTGTTGATGTGAGTGTGAGAAGACATGCGTGCCACACTGAACGTGCATCCAGTGGTGGGGACTAGCATCAGCCTGAGATGCCACTGTGCTGGCAGTGAGTGACCACCATCACAAAATCACGAGTGGCAGGGTTCACCCCACACAGAAGACCCAACCTTTTTCATCACTTCTGTTCTTCCCCGCTGTTGCTGGAAGAAAAGACAGCTTATCCAAAGGAGAAACAACCTAGTCATGTACAAATGGGATGATCTGGAAGCAGAGGTGACTAGCTACAGCTATGATGGGGAGTCATTCTAGAAAGGCTGCATCTCTGCCTTTTAGCCATGGCGATAGAACTTACTATAACTTGGCTTGTTTTTCTCCTTTTCATTATAGTGAATATCCCAGAAATACATGGGAGAGAGGGATACGAAGATGGAATTGATGGTGAGTATTGTGATTTAGCAGATAATCATGAAATTCAAGTTTGGCTATAAAGACATCAACAAAAGTAATGCCTGGGGTTCTGGAGCACTAGAATTTAGAAATATTCATCAGAATACACAACGAACCCAGAGAAGGATGAGGGGCCATCAATCGCTCTGCCAGGGTGAAATTTAGAGAGTTACAAAGTTTTTAGAATTCCCTCTGCCTAATCAGTAACAGGTCCTCTCATTCAGGCAACTTTATACACGAATGGACTTCAAATATGGATAAGCCCTTTAGAAGTGAAAGATCAGGCCAGGTGTGGTGGCCTGCACCTATAATTCCAGCACTTTGGGAGACTGAAGTGGGAAGATGGCTTGAACTCAGAAGTTCAAGACCAGCCTGGGCAACATAGAAAAACCTCGTCTCTAAAAAAAAAGTTTTGGTTTTTTTTAATTAGCCAGGTGTGATGATACATGCTTGTAGTCCCAGCTATTCGGGAGGCTGAGATGGAAATATCACCTGAGCCCAAAAAGTCCAGGCTTTGGTGAGCTGTGATTGTGCCAATGCACTCCAACCTGGGGACAGAGTGAAACCCTGACTCAAAAAAAATAAGTGAAAGATTAGCTCCTCCATGCTGGTCGCTGCACTCCAGCCTGGGGACAGAGTGAAACCCTGACTCAAAAAAATAAGTGAAAGATTAGCTCCTCCATGCTGGTCGCTGTTTGAACCCTTCAACATTCTCCCCAAATCAAGCCAAGCACCTGAGCATAAATGTGAATGTTCCCCAGGCTGGCCATGACTGTGGTCCCCCAGGCGGCCAGTGGCTGCATCCTGTTGGTCAGCCGTGGCTGTGGTCCCTTGGTGGGTCATGGCTGCATCCCCAGGCCAGCTGTGGCTGCAGTCCCTTAGCCTGCTGTGGCTGTGGTCCCAGGTGGGCTGTGAGAGTCAAGGAGCTGGGAGGCCAGGTGTTCCCTGTGATGTGGCAGTGCCTGAAGCCTCTCACATGCTTTCTTGTTGCAGATGAGTACGAGGTAGACTGGAACAACTCCTCCTCCCCGACATCTGGGTCTGGTGCTCCGGCAGCCGACAGAGAGAAGAGCTGGCTTTACACACTGGACCCCATCCTCATCACCATCATCGCCATGAGCTCGCTGGGTGTGCTTCTGGGGGCCACTTGCGCGGGGCTACTGCTCTACTGCACCTGCTCCTATGCGGGCCTGGGTACCCGCAGCTGCACCACGTTGGAGAACTACAACTTTGAGCTCTACGATGGCCTCAAGCACAAGGTCAAGGGCAACCACCAGAAGTGCTGCTCTGAGGCATAATGGGCAGCACCAGGCAGCCTGGCATCTCATACCTGCGAGAGGGGCTGGTGAAGATTGCGTTGGGTTTTTGGTTTTGGTTTTTTGTTTTGTTCTGTTTTGTTTCCTTTGGAAATTGAATGCCATAATCTCGATCAAACCGATCCAGAATACCGGAAGTGTGGACAGGACCGAGGCGAGTTGGGGGAGGGGGACAACGCTGTGAAGGGGTCATGCCCCGCCCAACCCCAGTGGCTGTTCGGTGCAGGAGTGGCCGTGTTCTCTGCCAGGACAAAGACAGGAGCTCATCTCTTTGGAGGGTCACAGTTCTGTTTTGTTTGTGAATTTGTTATTGTTAATTATATTTTATTTCTTTGATCTGTGAGCGATTCAAAGAGGCAGAAGAGAACGATCTTTCTGTGTAGATGTGGAGTAATGAGCACTGTCCTCTGTTCTCTCCTAATCAACGTTGGAAAGCAAAGCATCTTTTCAGCCTTTCCATCACCAGAAATAAAACTCCAAGAAGCCGTCAGCTCATCCCAGCCTCCAGTTGTCTCCGAAGGGGTCTACCACGGGTGGGTCCTGCCCGCCTCGCCTCGGCCTACCAGTGCCAGTCCTAGCATTTCAGTAGGATGTTGTTGCCTTTAACTTTATTTATCCAGGGGAAAATTGCCATTTTAGGGTCAGCATGAACAGCTCTTGCTTATGTGCGATTTAAAACCAACCAGAAAGGAGACCAGAATCCATAGAAGCACCTCCTGTTGGATGCGACCGAGCCTTAAAGTGCTTCATGGGCAAATGGGAGCCATCAGTTGACTGAATTGAGAGCTGGGGCATGCGGCTTCCTCAAGGGGCCGCTGGTGGTGGTTTTACCTTTTCCTTTTCCTCCTTCTTGTTCTAAAATGTACACACATGCTAGGCATGCATGCGTGCACAAACACACACACACACACACACACACACACACACACACACACCTACCTTCAGGAAGCAGCACTGTTTGGTCCTCAGAGGCGGATGGGGCAGACACAGGCTGTTGTACATTTTCTCCATGATGAGACATCATAGCTGGGAGGAAGGACAGCAGTGGACAGGGAAGGAGAAGCCGACTCAGTGGCCAAGGCTGAGCAGTGTAGACAGACATCTTGATGAATTCATCCCCCGATAGGCTGGTAAACACTGATTTCTCCTTTGGGTTATGGCCACCCCCTCAGCCTCCTGGAACAGAGCTACAGTGAATGAGAGCTGAGGCTAAGCAGGCATCTGCAGGTACTGTGGACCGAAATGCTGATACCCATACTGCTTCAGCCCAGGGAGACCTGGGCTCCTACTCACATGCACGCACATGTGCACACACACCAAGTTATGTGTTTTTTATTAAGTGCCTTGAAGAAATGAAGACAGCTGTGTTTTCCCTCTGTGTAGAAATCAGTAACTATCTTATAAGTGAAGGCATTTCTCCCCCCTCACCCACAGCCCCATCCCCCACTTGCCGCAGTCCCCTCATGGAAGGTGCCCTGCTGCCCAGTGGTGGACAGAGCCCAGGTGCTCTCAACTGCTCTAGAAAGGGAGGTATTGGGAGAGAAAGAAACTGAAGGACAAGACTCGCATCAAGATTGGATCACAAATCCATACTAACGCCTAAGATTGCCGGTGTGCTGGAAACACGCTCGAAACCCGGCCCATGGGCCCAGTCCAGGGCGGATAGATGATAAACCGCCAAGCCGTTTTTGCTGCTATGGTCACCCATGACTCCATTTGTCTAATGCGCAGGCAAAAGGGAAGAGTGGATGTTACTGGCTAGTCCCTTTCGATGTTAACTTGCGGAAATGCTCGTGCAGTGTTGACGTCACAGTGTTTTGTGTGCGGAGAGGGAGCGTCAGTCAACAGCTATTTATTCCTGTGTGTGTGTCTTTGCACCTTTGAGTTATCTGTATCTACTGTGTATGTGAATGGTCACGTGGGACTCGGTGGTGGTGTTGTGACTTTGACCTAGGGCCTGAGTGTCCCTGCTGGTCTTGGCACTCGTAGGTACAGTGGTAGTTAGAGGTGAGAAGTAAAGCTGACAGCCCAAGGGCTTAGCTCCAGGGCTCCAGAAGCCAGTTTTTAATTACCCCCCACCCCACCCTTCCATGTAGCTCAGTGTTCAGAAAGCTAGAAAGTCCTAGGGATTTCTAGAAGTCGCCTGCAGAAGATGACAAGTTTCAGAGCCTGCTCCAGACAGGGCCCCTGGTCCTCTCATCAGGAGTCCTGGTGTTCTCATGCCCGGGGGTCATTTTACAACCCCCAAGAGCCTGGCCCTGTCTCAGGCCTTAAATTCAGCCTGTATCCCTCTGAGAGTCCTAGATCCATACCCCTGGCTGATTTGAGTCCCTTTATGGACTCTGAACGCTGAGCAGAAGCAGATGCCCAGGACTGCGTGTAGATACCTCACTGAGGCTGGAGACTGGGCTGGTATTGGACAGAAACACAGATAGCAGGCCCAATTTTAGCATGGCCGCAGGATGCCTTGCTGTGCTTGTCCCTTTTTCTGCAAGCAGACACCCTGGCCCGCCTCCTTGAGTCCTTCCCCTGGGAACCCCCTTCCATGTCGACCTCCTTTTTGCCTTGTACTGAATGACACATTACCTCCACGCTCTCCCGGACCAGGCAGCAGGGCACAGGGTCGCTTTCTCTCTTTGGTGGGGCTGAGAGTAGACAGGGAGGAGAGTCCCAGGAATGAGCATGAATGATTGAAAACAAAGGGAGAAGTTAGACTGTCACCCAGAAGGTTACCTTTTCCAGGGTTTGTAGTGAAAGGTGTTCGACCATTCGCTGGCTGAGCCAGATCACGGGAACTTGAGAGCTTTTACTGTGATTCTTCAATGTAAGAAATAAACAACAATGTCAAACTGTGTTTATATGATTTGTATAAAGCCTTTTTAAGATTACTATTTAAATAAACACTATACCAGAGATATTCTTCTGCATTGTCTTTATTGAAGACAAAGAAACCCAGAGTGAGGGTGACCAGATCATCCCAATTTTTAGCCCTGAACATCCTGTGTCCTAGGACACCTTTGTCTGAGTTATCTTGGGCTGCTCTGAAAGAATACCATAGGTAGAGCAGCTTAAATGGCAGACATCTAATTCCCACAATTCTAGAAGCTGGGAAGTCCAAGATCAAGTCATTCAGTGTCTGATGAGAACTCCCTCCCTGCCTTGTAGACAGCCAACTTCTCCTTGTGCTCACCTCGGTCTTCCATGGAGAGAGAGATCTGTCTTCTTCTAACGAGGGCACTAACCCATCATGAGGTTCTCACCCTCATGGCCTCATCTAAACCTAATGATCTCCAGGGCCCCACCTCCTAATACTACAATGGGTGAAAGATTTAATGGATGAATTTAGGAAGGGCACAAATATTCAGCCCTTGAGGGCCCTCAATCCTGGGCCAAATAAGATGGCAGGTCATTCTCTTGGGAACAGTGCTTCTTGGCATGAGAGTGGTAGGTTGGCTGGTTGGCTGTTTATAAAGTGGGAATATTATGGGGATGACCCAGTGAGGTACTTTAACTCAGTCTCGCCTAATCAACCTCGGAGGTTTGTGATGTCACAAACAGGTTCTCCCTGGACTTTACCAGGCCCTGCAACTTTCAACTCTTTGCTGTTTCCTTCCTCCTCAAACACTTGGTTGACAACATCCCTGGTGATGCCAGTTTGGGGCAGTATTCTCAGAGTGTGGTCCCTGGGCCAGCCACATGAGCATCAGCTGGGACCTGGTCAGAGGTACATGTTCTTGTGTCCATCTCATATCTGCCGAATCAGAAACCCTGGGGAGTGAGGCCCGGGAATCTGCACTTCTGCAACCCACCAGGAGATTCTGATGCACTTCCCAGTATAAGGATCCCTGGACCAGGAGAAATGGAAAGTAGCCTGGCCTTGCAAAGGGACTAAGGATCATTTCTCCTGCGAGTTGCAGACTTCATTTAAAACACACCAGAATCTGACTGGTGGAAGCCCAGGAGGCCAAGATGGCCCTGGGTAACATGGCAAGTCCCAGGCAGAGAGAAGGAGCTTCGTTGTGAACCTGCCAATGGATACCAGGAACCCAGGCCAAAGAGGTCCATCCCAGGGCTCTGTTCATCCCAGAAAGGACACTTGGCTTATGTAGTCAAGAAGTGTTTCTGAGCACTCAGTGCTCACACTCATTGAGGGGCCAGAGCACGGCCAAGCACAAGGGCAAGGGCAGCCCCAGTAGAGAACTGTGGGTCTTACCCTCCAGGTAGGCCATCGTGGATGGCCTGAGCAGGTGGCCGTGAAGTGGAAACCTGTAGGGGCACAGAAGAGTGAGTCCAGCCCAGTGTCCAGAGAAGCTTTCCAAGTGGGAGGGGTGGCATCTTCTGTAGGAAGAGTCTGAGGCCTTCCCCGGACCACAGGGCAGCACGGGAGGGCATGGCCCATGTGGAAAGACAGGCAGTACTCCCTCCACCCAGCACACCAGGCTGCTCCTCCCTGCCCTGAGAGGTGGCCCCACCCTTCTTAATTTGCAAAATGGGCAGACCCCAGTCCCCTCCTGACCAAGGTCAGCACAGCCAGGCCCTTTGTTTCCCTCTTGCCCTTCTTGACTCCATGAGATCATGGCCTCCCAAGACATCTGCCTCCACATAACACGGACCAGCAACCACAGCAAAGGTGACCACGAAGGCAAGATTCTTTCTTCTTTAGTGGAGCTTTGGGGTATTTGTAAAGCCCTAGTAAGCAAATAATACCTTCTGGTCCCTAGCCAGTGAATGTTTATGTAAGATCTTTTTTTCTCATCTGCATCTTTCTGGAGATGTGTGCTGAATCCTCAGGGAGGCAGGGAGGCCAGGGGATGAGGCTGAAGCAGGGCACAGTGGGGGAAACAGGACCCACCTGGAGGCTGCAGCCACTTTGGCCTGTTTGGTGGTAGTGGGTTGTAGAAGTGGTTGAAACAGTGGGGGGTGGTGAGGGAAGGGGACTTGATTGCAGTTCTTGATGGCTTCAGATTCCAACCCCAGGCTGAGCCAAACAAACTTGGGGAAAACATTTCCCCCACATCCAGGGACAGGGTGGGAGATGGGGTGTCAAAACAGCCAGTGCAGCCTGTGGGGATGCTCAAAGCTGCCCTGCGCCCACCTGGAGCCTCACATGACATTAGCACCCATCCTCATCAGCAGGAGGGAAGGACCTGGAAGCCCGTGGCTGCTGAGGTTGAGGAAATACAGGGCTTGCCCGAACTCCCACCACTCAGGACTCCTCACTGCACCCTGAGGCTGGTCCTGAGTGTTCTTGGTGGCCTGAGAGGTGGCTTCTGGGGAAGAACTGACCTTCCATGTCTCTCTGGGACCCCAGTAAGTGTCCCATAAGGGAGCATATCCAGGGAGTGACACCTATTTCTTCTCCCCTGCCAGAAGAAAGTCCTGCAGGACATGGGGGGGGGGTGGGAGTGTGGGCATATGTGTGTGCATGTGTGCATGCATGTGTCCATGCGTGCATGTGTGTATGTTCCTGGTTTATAGGTGCTAACAGAAAAAGAGGCCCTTTCACTAAGAAAACATGTCCCTCCTGGCCGTAGAGTATTCCGGCTGTCCCTCGCCTCCCATGTAGGAAGGAGGATCCTCTCTCCACAGAGAACACAGCCTAGCCAGGGTAGACCCCACACAGAGAGCAAGTTCTGAGCTGCCAGGCCTCTGCAGGAAGCCTCCACCAGTCAGAGGCAAAGCTGGACCAGGCTTTCCACAGGGCCTGGGTCGCTCACCAAACCTGCAGGAGGGTAGCTGTGGTCAGGCACGGACGCTCCTGTGTCCTTGAGACTCAAACAGCCTCCCCTGGAGACAGTACAGTTCTGCCAGGGAGGC